AGAATTTGTTCTAGGGGACCTAAGGAACAGGAGTTAAAGGAAAAATACCGAGACCGGATTCACGGTTAATTTTTCTTTTTTGTGAAGCACATTTCTAAGCCTATAAGTTTCTTACTAGATGAGCTAAATCGTTTCCTGTAAGAAACTTTTGGTGGCATTTATGGCATTCTGTATTGAAATTTTGTAATGAGTCGTCCGTACTGTTGTGGATGGCTCTCTGTCGGGATAAAAATCGAAATCCGTTGACAACACGAGGTGTCTTCCCTATTGTAGCTTGTTTAACGGATGGTTGCCTCATTACGAGACATACCTCAAATTTTGGATCCCTGGATATAGTACCGATCTTGTTATTCTTTGATAATGTCCGTTGACGATCGTTAGCATTAATAATGAGAATCTTGGCTGTGTTGTCGATGACGTTCAGCACGATATTGGGCGTGAAAATGAGTTTGGAGTGATTGTGAATCGGTTCAATTATTAAATTCTCGGCCTGTGTTAATTGCACTTTTACATCAACGAATTGCTGGGACGATGGAGGAATTGTGATCTGATTGACGAGATATACGGGATAATGAAGATCGGGGGGTTCACTGTACTGGATTGAGATCTGCTGTCCATTCCCTCCCAAGGAGTGTTAGCCGTTGTTCGTCGCCAAGTAGATGAACTCGATTTTGATTTATCCAGTCGTTTCCGAGAAGAATATCTGTGATCAGATTGGTGGCCAAATCGGTTGTGATGTACGTTTTGATGTTTCCGACTCTGAGAAGTGACGTAGCCGGTCTACAAGCAGTAGATCAAGGGCAGCCAGGACTAGGACTATCGGTAGTGAAAAACTGAAGTCTCAGAGACGAAGTTTTTCTCTACTTTTGCCTCTATTATTCCGCTGATTTCTCCAAGGCGGTTATTCCAAGTAAATCTTGCTTTAAAGGCATAAGTATCGAATTTTGCCATTTTCAGTTATTTGTAGGCTAACCAAGAGATTCGAGATACCCTTTTGATGAAGCTACGTTAATCCAGGAATTTTTTGAAAATCTCAGATTTCTGACTAGAAACAACAGGTTTTGCAAGTTAGCTAAAACAGCAAAATACATCTTGAGTAATCTGTAGTGATGAAAAATTAGTGGAATCTTCACCAGATTCTGAAGAAAACGGTCGTTTCTAGTCAGAAATCTAAGATTTTCAAAAAATTCCTGGATTAACGTAGCTTCATCAAAAGGGTATCTCGAATCTCTTGGTTAGCCTACAAATAACTGAAAATGGCAAAATTCCATACTTATGCCTTTAAAACAAGATTTACTTGGAATAACCGCCTTGGAGAAATCAGCGGAATAATAGAGAAGACAAAAGTAGAGAAAAACTTCATCTCTGAGACTTCAGTTTTTCACTACCGATAGTCCTAGTCCTGGCTGCCCTTGATCTACTGCTTGCAGACCGGCTACGTCACTTCTCAGAGTCATTTAACACTCTGAGAAAAGTGGATAAGTGAAGTTATAATTTAAATGAAGTTATTTGCTATACGCACGCTATAGAGGGTGAGTATATATAGCAAATTCTTTGCAACATTTATGTAGTAAAAATGAGTCATTGATTAGTCGATTTTAAGTGTTGGTTTATTTCATTGATTTTGAAGTTATTTGGGGTCACATTGCGGTTGTTGGGTAGAACACGACATTTTCACAAATGTGATTTTTATATCGTAAAAAATAAAACCACCTAGAATACGATGCAAACGTCTATAAGTATTTGTTTTTGAACCAGGCGACCAAGTCGAACACAAACAAGATACACAATGAAACCGTTTCATTGCATCTCGTTTCATCGCATCTTGTTTGCAAAATAACGTAATACACACATATATACAACGACGAGGAATATAAAGGGAGGAAGAAAAGTGAGATCAAAGAAAAGAAAAAAAGACGCAGTATGTTTGATGTGTACAGTTGAATATAGTGTAATATACCGTGAAAACCTAAGTGGAGTCTAAAGACTCCAAAACTCGGAAATACCCCGACGAGATCTTTGCGCTGTACAACATAACTCGTCACGCTGATTCCGAATATGTAAAACTCTCGAGGTACGCTTCTCTAGAAAAAAACCATCAAATTTTGATATGCGCGATGCAAAGAAAAACTCAATAAAGTGTTTTACTAAACCCATAGAGTTTTTTGTTCAATCTTGTAGGGTTTCTGAGTTTAGTAACTCTGAGGTTTAGCATCAAAGAATTGAGTGTATTTTCTTTCTTCGCGTTTCGTGAATAGAGTTATCGAGGACTGCTTTCGTTGTGCAATCCATTTCTTGGGCTTGGAATACTCTTTTCGGTGGATCCGTGTTCTTATTCCAACAGAGATCTTTCTTGAAGAAAGATCAGTTTGTAGATCTCACCGATGAGGAGATCATTATCGAAGTTTTTGAATCCAAAGATGTTTCTCAAAGAAAGATTGTATTGACATCTTACTGCTAGCGACATCACTGTTCACATTTTTTACATATTGATTTTCACAATATCGAGAACAACTCCCGCTCGATTTTCTTTTAAAAAATTGCACTATGTCAATAAATATCGGGAAATCCGAATTACTCGTTGGTTTTTCATAATTATTCATAACGGCTTCGGGGACGAGATCAAAAATAAAAGAAACCTGTCAAACATTAATCTCTTATCATCACATTACCGATACTCCTTCTCGACAACACAAATCCAGTTTGCTTACTACAACACCAAACGGCCCGTCTCCCACCGCAGCAACTACTACATCATCTATTTTATCGTCTCAAATCATCAAAATGTCTGACTCATTAATTGCATTAGCTCGAAAGGCTTGATTTACTGACCCTCCCAGTTTCTCCGGACAACCATCAGAGGACGTCAAACAATTTCTGAGGAGTATCAAGAACCTAACAAAGAGTGATACGGAAATCACCAATGCTCAGCGGTTGGAAATTGTTCAAGGCAAATTAACCCAGACGGCCGGTAAATGGTTCGACGATAGTGACTTTCAAACATGGTCAGAATTTAAAACAGCATTTTGAAATCGATATTCCTCATCCACGCAATCTCAACTTAGATTCGATCAGTTGTTACAACGAAAACAGGAGCCATCTGAATCCGTTGCCATGTATTTTGATGATATTGTATCATTATGTAAAGAATTAGATTCATCAATGTCAGAGAAAATCTTAGTCCAACATCTAATGAATGGCATTCGTCCCGAATTTCCCATACCACTCTTTCGTCATGAGCCTCCGACCCAACACACTGAAGTATTTCTGAAGGCGGCTAAGAAAGAGCAAGATATTCAAGAAACATTTCAAAAACTTGATGAATTGAAATTTACCGATTCAAAAGCATACTTTGCACTTAATCCAAAATCAATCCCATTCACAGCCACCGTTCAGCAACAACCATATCGACATCCGCATCATTTAGCTCAGACTTCATATCAAGCAACACACGAGAGCTCCGCTCCAATGCGGAACTCATTCCCGTCTCAATCCGCTTCACAAACTCAGCGCAAATCGCCTAATATCCAACAAAATCTTCAATCGGGAGCACTACGAAGTCAGTCACACAAACAACGATCTACATTTTTACCCCAATTTGATCCATGTAAAATTTGTGGTAGGGAAGATCATGCTTCAATTCATTGTTATTACAAACAGAAAACTGGCTGTTACAATTGCGGACAAAGTCATTTAGTCCGTGATTGTCGAAAGCAACCGTTTTTCGAGTAACTGGGACATATGATGGTGGTGTTCCCAGTAAACCAACTAAGCCATCAACATCGCCTTCTCCGGTCTACATTAAACTTCAAGTCAACAGCAAACCAACTCATGCAATCATAGATACGGGCTCCGCCATCACAATCATTCATCAAGATTTGCTTAAGAAAATCCATCATAAAAAATTCTTTTACAAGAAAGTCGTTTGCAAGGCTGCTAACTCCTCGTTAATCACCATCATTGGCCAAATCAAACTAGAAATCAAAATCGGAAACATCTAACCGTTTCTCAACACCAACAGTTGATCCTCTTGTATCACCTCCATTCCCACTGTCTGTACCATTACAAATTCAACCTCACCATCCACCATCGTAACAACAAGAATCAAATCACATCGATCAGACAACTACCTACGAACCAATCTAAGATGACGCAACACCTTCGACAAGTGATAAATCACCACCACCGTCACAATTTACCATTATTATTCCTGAAGAATATCCTTTTCTGATTCCATCCTCACCGCCGGCAGCATCATTTGACAATACTCAACAGCCGACCAGTGAGCCACATCTAACATCAGCTGTTATCCAGCGGCAAAGTTACATATATTTAAATATGTAACTTAATGCCATCTTTCACATTTCCCGTTCGAAATTTTGATACTTTGCTATGATTTAAATAAGCATCCAAATCATTTTTTTGTAAATATTTATTAACAAAACTCCAAGCTTTTCTTGACATGATTTTTGTTTAAAGAAAAAATATTTAGAGTGTATTGAGAACAGTGTGGATTGAATTAATTCTTAAAGAGATGAACTTCACTTTACATCAATGTTTAAGATTTATCATACATTTCAGTCAATAAGTCTCATTTGTATTAAACGGGACGTCTGTTCGTAGGTCATCCTATTTGTTTAGGTCATCGGCATGTAAAACGCAAAAATATCTTTTACTCCTTGAAAAACCGTGCACAAAACCGTCTCCGTGCACATTTCTGTAACCGTGCATAAAAAAGTCTAAAGATTTCTTAGTGCACGGAAATTAGCAAACCGTGCATAATTCCGAAAAAACCGTGCACAAAAGACATTTTTTCCCTAAGATTTAGATGTCATAATAATTATTGATAAGTCTATTAGATCAAGAAGACCGTATAAGATTGATCATCGAACCATTTTGTTTTTACCAATTTTTTCATAGAAACATAAAAAAATGGCAAGATTTATAAAAACAATTTATACATTCAGATATAACCACATTAATTAATTTTTAT